CAAGTGTCATTTGGATTTTTACACTAATTTTTGACACGTTGTTTAACACTTACATTGTTGTCAAGTGTCATTTGGATTTTTACACTAATTTTTGACACGTTGTTTAACACTTACATTGTTGTCAAGTGTCATTTGGATTTTTACACTAATTTTTGACACGTTGTTTAACACTTACATTGTTGTCAAGTGTCATTTGGATTTTTACACTAATTTTTGACACGTTGTTTAACACTTACATTGTTGTCAAGTGTCATTTGGATTTTTACACTAATTTTTGACACGTTGTTTAACACTTACATTGTTGTCAAGTGTCATTTGGATTTTTACACTAATTTTTGACACGTTGTTTAACACTTACATTGTTGTCAAGTGTCATTTGGATTTTTACACTAATTTTTGACACGTTGTTTAACACTTACATTGTTGTCAAGTGTCATTTGGATTTTTACACTAATTTTTGACACGTTGTTTAACACTTACATTGTTGTCAAGTGTCATTTGGATTTTTACACTAATTTTTGACACGTTGTTTAACACTTACATTGTTGTCAAGTGTCATTTGGATTTTTACACTAATTTTTGACACGTTGTTTAACACTTACATTGTTGTCAAGTGTCAATTGGATGGGAAAACTTTTTGAAAAACTGTTAGAAATTTAAACTCTCTAACAGGGTAATGTCCGTGGCAAAGTGTACACCGTAGTGTGCATGTTGTAAGGTTCTTACCGTTTGAACTTCCCTATTTGTAAACTGATTTTTGGCACGTTGTTTAACAGTTGCATTGTTGTCAAGCGTAAATTGGGTGGGAAAACTGTTTGAAATTTAAACTGTCCAACAGGGTAACGTTACGTGGCAAAGAGTAAACAAAAGTGTACACATTAGTGTACATGTATCGGGGTCCTTACCGATTGAACTTTGCGATTTGTACACTGATTTTTGACACGTTGTTTGATACTTGCATTGTTTTCAAGTGGCAAAGTGTAAACTAAAGTGTACACAGTAGAGTACATATTGCATGGTTCTTACCAATTGAACTTTGACATTGGGACACTCATTTTTGACATGTTGTTTGACACTTGCATTGTTTTCAAGTGTCAATTGGATGGAAAAATGTTTGAAATTGAAATTTTCCCACAGGGTAATATCTCGTGGCATAGTGTAAACTAAAGTGTGCATGTAGCAAGGTTCTTGCCGATTGAACTTTACTATTTTTTCACTAATTTTTGACACGTTGTTTAACTCTTGCATTGCTGTCTAGGGTCAATTAGATGGAAAAACTGTTTGAAATTTAAACAATCCAACAGGGTAATGTCACGTGGCAAAGTGTAATATAAAGTTTACACCATAGTGTACATGTAGCAAGGTTCTTACCGATTGAACTTTGCTATTTGTACACTAATTTTTTACACTTTGTTTGACACTTGCATTGTCGTCAAGTGTCAATTGGATGAAAAAACAGTTTGAAATTTAAATTGTCCAACAGGGTAATGTCATGAGGCAAATTGTAAACTAAAGTTTACCCTAATGTGTTCATGTAGCAAGGTTCTTACCGATTGAACTTTGCTATTTTTACACTGATTTTTGACACGTTGTTTGACACTTACATTGTCTTCAAGTTTCAATTGGAAGGGAAAACTGTTTGAAATTTAAATTATCCAATAGGGTAATGTCTCGTGGCAAAGTGTAAACTAAAGTGTACACCGTAGTGTGCATGTAGTAAGTTCTTACCGTTTGAACTTCGCTATTTGTAAACTAATTTTTGGCACGTTGTTTAACAGTTGCATTGTTGTCAAGTGTCAATTGGGTGGAAAAATGTCTGAAATTTAAACTGTCCAACAGGGTAACGTCACGTGGCAAAGAGTATGCAAAAGTGTACACAATAGTATACATGTATCAAGGTCCTTACTGATTGAATTTTGCTATTTTTATACTGACTTTTGACATCGTGTTTGACACTTACATTGTTGTCAAGTGCTAATTGGAGGGGAAAATCGTTTGTAATTTAAACTGTCAAACTGGGTAATGTCACGTGGCGAAGTGTAAACTAAAGTTTACACCATAGTGTACATGTAGCAAGGTCCTTACCAATTTAAATTTGTTATTTGTACACTGATTTTTGACACGTTATTTGACACTTACATTGTAGTCAAGTGTCAATTGGATGGGATTTGTACACTGATTTTTGACACGTTATTTGACACTTACATTGTAGTCAAGTGTCAATTGGATGGGAAAACTGTTTGAAATTCAAACTGTCCAAAAAGATAATGTCACATAGAAAAGTGTAAATTAAAGTGTACACCAGAGTGTACATGTAGCAAGGTCCTTACCGATTGAACTTTACTATTTGTAGACTTATTTTCGACACGTTATTTGACACTTGCATTGTAGTCAAGTGTTAATTGGATGGAAAAATTGTTTGAAATTCAAACTGTCCAAAAGGGTAATGTCACGTGAAAAATTGTAAATTAAAGTGTACACCATAGTGTACATGTTGCAAGGTTCTTACCGATTGAACTTTGCTATTTGTACACTGATTTTTGACACGTTGTTTGACACTTACATTGTTGTCAAGTGTCATTTGGATGGGAAAACTGTCTGAAATTTAAACTGTCCAATAGGGTAATGTCACTTGGCAAAGTGTAAACTGAAGTGTACACCATAGTGTGCATGTAGCAAGGTTCATACCGACTGAACTTTGCTAATTGTACACTAATTTTTGACACGTTGTTTCATACTTGTATTGTTTTCTAGTGTCAATTGGATGAGAAAATTGTTTGAAATTAAAGCAATCCAACAAGGTAATGTCATGTGGCAATGTGTAAACTAAAGTTTGCACCATAGTGTACATGTAGCAAGGTTCTTACCGATTGAACTTTGCTATTTGTACACTGATTTTTGACACGTTGCTTGACACTTGCATTATTGTCAAGTGTCAATTGGATGGGAAAATTGTTTAAAATTTAAACTGTCCAACAGGGTAATGTCACGTGACAGAATGTAAACTAAATTGTACACCATAGTGTGCATGTTGCAAGGTTCTTACCCATTGAACTTTTCTATTTGTACACTAATTTTTGACGCGTTGTTTAATACTTGCATTGTTGTCTAGTGTAAATTGGTTGGGAAAATTGTTTGAAATTTAAACAATCCGATAGGGTAATGTCATGTGGCAAAGTGTAAACAAAAGTTACACCATAGTGTACATGTAGCAAGGTACTTACCGATTGAACTTTGCTATTTGTACAAAGATTTTTGACACATTGTTTAACACTTGCATTGTTGTCAAGTGTCAATTGGATTGGAAAACTGTTTGAAATTTAAACTGTCCAACAGGATAATGTCACGTGGTAAAGTGTAAACGAAAGCGTACACCATAGTGTGTATGTAGCAAGGTTCTTACTGATTGAACTTTGTGATTTGTACACTGATTTTTGACACATTGTTTTCCTTACATTGTTGTCAAGTGTCAATTGGTGGCAAAAATGGATTTAAATTTAAATTGTTCGATAGGGTAATGTCACGTGGCAAATTGTAAACTAAAGTGTGCACAGTAGTGTACATGTAGCACGATTTTTACCGATTGAACTTTGATATTATTAAACTGATTTTTGACACGTTGTTTGACACTTGCATTGCTGTCAAGTGTCAATTGGAGGGGAAAAGTATTTGAAATTAAAACTGACACGACCCATCCCGATTTAACCTAATTGACTCAACATGTGTCGTGCACCGATGGTAGATGCCAGCTAAATGCTAGACCCGCCACCAAGGGAAACGTGACATACTTGACCATGACATAATTCTATAAAAATTTTGACAGAGTTTCCCTTGTAACATGGACAAAACCAACCTGAAAATCATCAAAACCTCAAATAGACATTTAAGCCAAAAGATTTGGAAACCACCACTTCCTCTAATACCACCACAACTATAACAAAATATAACAAAATTCGACTGAGTGCTTCTACAAGATCATCATGTCAACATGCAAGCATTACATCAATTACAAACCTTTCTACGAAGTGCATGACACACCAAATATTAGACAAGTACTTAATAAACATGAGTCTCCCAACTATACATTACATACTATGAAACGGTCTCTTTCGCTTCAGTAGGCTTTTCCTAGTATCTCAAAATCGATGGTCTCCTGATAGGAATGCATGATAAAAATATACGAGTTTATAACTCAGTGAGTGGATGATTTCTAAATAAGTAAACTTTTTCCATTTATGCATATTTTCTAAAAATTCCAATTTTATTAAATCCTTGAGAAATTCTGAATCTAGTAATACTTTCAAAAACTAGACATGATTACATTATAAAATTCTTTATTCTAAATTCTAGATAAGTATCTGTGAAATATAACAAATATAAAGAATTTGATATTCATGAAAATCTATGAAATATTGCTGCTGCTCAATAGTATAAGCTGAAAGCTTTATTCTGAAAACTGAATTAACTGACTTCCATAATCTAAAATCTGAGAACTGAATAAATAGTGAAAAATCACACAAAAAGAGTACCCAATGAATAGCCTTGCTCATGTACAGAGTAATCTCGATGTACAAGGCAAAGTCATTCAAATCTGATAATCTGATAATCTGGTCATACGTACGCAGAGCTGCCCCAAAGGCTAATCACCCTAATACACGGTCCAAAGCCTATATGTGTACGAGAATGGGTCCCAAAGACCTCTGATAATCTGGTCATACACTATGGAAACACATTCACGATAGTGCAGAGCAGGTAAAATCACTGTAACTAGTCATACACTGTGGAAACACATTCACATCAATGCAGACTGGGGTAAAATCACCTAGGTACTTTCTGATGGTTTTTAGAAATAACTTTAACTATACTGAAACATGTAATAAGAATATAACATGCTACTAAAATAATTTAACTGAACTGAATTTAACTTTAAAAGCAATTGATAATAAAATCCATTTTATTCTGAAAATCATGCTATGAAGTCAACTTTATAAAATAAATAACTTTAAAAATTAAAGAATACTTATTTCTGAAAAATAAGTTTTATCCACTCACAAGGTATGAGCTACAAGCTAGATTGGCTGATAAACGTTTCCAATTTCCTCGCCACCGCCTGAAATACGATTTTAATAACCAGTTTATCCTCTATCTAATCAAGAAACCTTAATATCTAATGATAGAACTTAAAATTAAATTTTCTGGACACTTTAATAAGTTCTCAAATTTTCCTTTATTAATTGGAGCTAATCACACTTTTTAATCCATTGACTAATAACTAATGTATCAACATAACCTTCACTTCCAAACATCACTATGATAATCCACATCATTCAAGTGACAAGAAGTTGCTATAATTCAACTAATTAAATTTTTCCTCTTGTTCCATAATTTCATATTTTCTCAACATCATCATTTTCATGAACATACTTAATCCCAAAAATCCCAAATAAAATTTCTAGGGTTTGCTAAAATAATATCCCTTACCTAGCTGAAATTGGAAATGAAGAAATCCCCAAACTTGAGCTCCAATTCGTACAAATATCACCTAAAATTTGACATTTTATTCTACAAGTTAAAACCCTAAAAATTTAATATAAATCATACTTAATCACTTGAAAACAAAGTGGAAAAATTAAACCCAACTTGAAGAGATTAACCTTACCTCTTTTCTTCTTCTTTTTCCTTTCTTCTTTTCCTTTTCTTTTTCCTTTCTTCTTTTCTTTTCTCTCCCTTCACTATCAATCTCTACTTCTCTCGTTACTCTCTGTGTGTGTTTTGGTGTGAAATTGAGAGAGAATGGGTCAAATGGTTGAATTAAATGGTCCACTAACCCATAATTGCAAACTAAGTTCTTCAACTCCCTTTTTCATATCACATTTAATCCTAACACTTCCAAAATTATATAAGTAAGTTTCCAACTTAAAAATGTATGCAATTAACCTTCAAAATATATTTATAATTTATAAGATAAACCCAAATAAAATGATTTGGTAAATCGAGTTCCAATAAAAATGATTTATTTCATACAAGTCCTCATTTGACTTGACTTTGAAAATTCCACTATTGACTTTGACTAGATAGAAATATGGGTTGTAACAAAAACTGTCCAACAGGGTAATGTCAGGTGGCAAAGTGTAAATTAAAGTGTACACCATAGTGCACATGTAGCAAGGTCATTACCGATTGAGCTTTGCTATTTGTGCACCGATTTTAGACACGTTGTTTGACACTTGCATTGTTGTCAAGTGTCAATTCGATGGGAAAACTATTTGAAATTTAAACTGTCCAATAGGATAATGTCACGTGGCAAAGTGTAAACTAAAGTGTAAATCATAGTGTACATGTAGCAAGGTCCTTATTGATTGAACTTTGCTATTTGTACACTGATTTTCGACACCTTGTTTGATTCTTGCATTGTTGTCAAGTGTTAATTCGATGGGAAAATTGTTTGAAATTTAAATTTTCCGACAGGATAATGTCACGTGACAAAGTGTAAATTAAAGTGTACATCATAGTGTACATGTAGCAAGGTTCTTGCCAATTGAACTTTGCTATTTCTTCATTAATTTTTGACATGTTGTTTAACACTTGCATTGTTGTCCGTTGTCATTTGGATGGGAAAATTATTTGCAATTTAAACTGTCCTACAGGGTAATAACAAGTGGCAAAGTGTAATATAAAGTGTACTCCATAGTGTACATGTCGCAAACTTCTTACCGATTGAACTTCGCTACTTGTACACTAATTTTTAACACGTTGTTTGATAATTACATTATTGTCAAGTGTTAATGGGATGGGAAAACTGTTTGAAATTTAAACTACTCGACAGGGTAATGTCACGTGGTAAATTACAAACAAAAGTGTACAACATAGTGTGGATGTAGCAAGGTTCTTACCGATTGAACTTTGCTCTTCGTACACTGGTTTTTGACACGTTGTTTCACACTTGCATTGTTGTCTAGCGTCAATTGGATGGGAAAACTATTTGAAATTTAAACTATCAAAAAAGGTAATGTGCCATGGTAAATTGTAAACCAAAATGTACACTATAAAAATTTAAACTGTCCAATAGGGTAATGTCACGTAGCAGAGTGTAAACTAAAGTGTACACCATTGTGTGCATGTAGCAAGATTCTTACCGATTGAGCTTTGCTCTTTAAACACTGATTTTTGACACGCTGTTTCACACTTGCAATTTTGTCTAGTGTCAGTTGGATGGGAAAACTGTTTGAAATTTAAACTATCCAAAAGGGTAATTTCACGTGGCAAAGTGTAAACTAAAATGTACACCATAGTGTGCGTGTAGCAAGGTTCTTGCCGATTGAATTTTGCTCTTTGTACACTGATTTTTCACACGTTATTTCACACTTGCATTGTTGTCTAGTGTCAATTGGGTGGGAAAATTGTTTGAAATTTAAATTGTCCAATAGGATAATGTCACGTGGCAAAGTGTAAACTAAAGTATACACCATAGTGTACATGTAGCAAGGTTCTTACCGATTAAACTTCACTTTATGTACACTAATTTTTGACACGTTTAATACATGTATTGTTGTCTAGTGTCAATTAGATGAGAAAATTGTTTAAAATTTAAACAATCCAGCAGGGTAATATCACGTGGCAAAGTGTAAACTAAAGTGTGCACCATAGTGTACATGTAGCAAGGTTCTTATTGATTGAACTTTGCTATTTGTACACTAATTTTTGACACGTTGTTTGACACTTGCATTGTTGTCTAGTGTCAATTGGATGGAAAAACTGTTTGAAATTTAAACTGTCCAACAGGGTAATGTTATATGGCAAAGTGTAAACTAAAGTGTACACCATAGTGTGCATGTAGCAATGTTCTTACCGTTTGAACTTTGCTATCTGTAAACTAGTTTTTGACATGTTGTTTAATACCTGCATTGTTGTTTAGTGACAGTTGGATGGGAAAATCATTTGAAATTTAAACAATCTAACAGGGTAATGTCACGTGGAAAAGTGTAAACTAAAGTTTGTACCATAGTGTACATGTAGCGAGGTTCTTACCGATTGAACTTTGCTATTTGTACACAGATTTTTGACACGTTTGACACTTGCATTGTTGTTAAGTGTCAATTGGATGGGAAAACTGTATGAAATTTAAACTGTCCAATAGGGTAATGTCACGTGGCAAAGTGTAAACCAAAGTGTATACCATAGTGTACATGTAGCAAGGTTCTTACCGATTGAAATTTGCTATTTGTATACTGATTTTTGACACATTGTTCAACACTTGCATTGTTGTCTAGTGTCAATTGGATGGGAAAACTGTTTGAAATTTTAACTATCCAGCAGGGTAATGTCTCATGGCAAAGTGTAAATTAAAGTTTACACCATAGTGTTCATGTGGCAAGGTTCTTACCGATTGTACTTTGCTATTTGTACACTGACTTTTGCCACATTGTTTGACACTTGCATGGTTGTCAAGTGTCATTTGGCTGGGAAAATTGTTTGAAATTTAAACTGTCTAACAGGGTAATGACATTTGTTAAAGTGTAATCTAAAGTGTATTCCATAGTGTTCATGTCGCAAGGTTTTATCAAGGTTGAACTTCGCTATTTGTGCGCTGATTTTTGACACGTTGTTTGACACTTACATTATTGACAAGTGCCAATTGGATAGGAAGACTGTTTGAAATTTAAACTGTCTAACAGTGTAATGTCACTTGACAAAGTGTAAAATAAAGTGTACACCATAGTGCGCATGTAGCAAGGTTCTTACCTTTTAAGTTTGCTATTTGTACATTAATTTTTGACACGTTGTTTAATACTTGCATTGTTGTCTAGTGTCAATTGGATGGAAAAATTGTTTGAAATTTAAACAATCCAACAGGGTAATGTCACGTGGTAAAGTGTAAATTAAAGTTTGCACCATAGTGTACATGTAGCAAGGTTCTTACTGATTGACCTTTGCTATTTATACACTGATTTTTGACACATTGTTTGATACTCGCATTGTTGTCAAATGTTAATTGGATGGGAAAAGTGTTTGAAATTTAAATTGTCCAACAGGGTAATGTCACGTGGTAAAGTGTAAACTAAAGTGTACACCATAGAGTGCATATAGCAAGGTTCTTACTGATTGAACATTGCTATTTGTGCACTAGTTTTTGACCCATTGTTTAATACTTACATTGTTGTCTAGTGTCAGTTCCATGGAAAACTTGTTTGAAATTTAAACAGTCCAACAGGGTAATGTCACGTGGCAAAGTGTAAACTAAAGTTTTCACCATAGTGTACATGTAGCAAGGTTCTTACCGATTGAACTTTGCTATTTGTTCACAGATTTTTGACCCGTTGTTTGCCACTTGCATTGTTGTCAAGTATCAATTGGATGGGAAAACTGTATGGCATTTAAACTATCCAACAAGGTAATGCCACGTGGCAAAGTGTAAACCAAAGTGTAAACCATAGTGTGCATGTATCAAGGTTCTTATCGATTAAACTTTGCTATTTGTACACTGATTTTTGACACGTTGCTTGACACTTGCATTGTTGTCGAGTGTCAATTGGAGAGAAAAACTATTTGAAACTTAAATTGTACAACCGGGTAATGTCACGTGGTAAAGTGTAAACTAAAGTGTATACCATAGTGTGCATGTAGCAAGGTTCTTACCGATTGAACTTTGCTATTTGTACACTAAGTTTTGACACATTGTTTAATACTTGTATTGTTGTCTAGTGTCAATAGGATGGGAAAATTGTTTGAAATTTAAACTGTACAACATGGTAATGTCACGTGGCAAATTTTAAACTAAAGTATACACCATAATGTGCATATAGCAAGGTTCTTACCGATTGAACTTTGCTATTTGTACACTAATTTTTGACACGTTATTTGACACTTGCATTGTTGTTGAGTGTCAATTGGATGGAAAAACTATTTTAATTTTAAACTGTACAATAGGGTAATGTCATGTGGTAAAGTGTAAGCTAACGTGTACACCATGGTGTGCATATAGCAAGGTTCTTACCGATTGAAATTTGCTGTTTACACACTAATTTTTGACACGTTTAATATTTGCAATGTTGTCTAGTATCAATTGAATGGGAAAATTGTTTGAAATTTAAACAATCCAACGGGGTAATGTCACGTGGCAGTGTAAACCAAAGTTTGCACCATAGTGCACATGTAGCAAGGTTCTTACCGATTCAACTTTGCTATTTGTACGTAGATTTTTGACACGTTGTTTGACATTTGTATTGTTGTCAAGTGTCAATTGGATAGGAAAACTTTTTGAAACTTAAACTGTCCAACAAGATAATGTCACGTGGCAAAGTGTAAACTAAAGTGTACACCATAGTGTGCATGTAGCAAGGTTCTTTCCGATTGAACTTTACTATTTGTACACTGATTTTTGGCATATTGTTTGAGACTTACATTGTTGTCAAATGTCAAGTGGATAGGAAAACTATTTGAAATTTAAACTGTCTAACAGGGTAATGTCACGTAGCAAAGTGTAAACTAAAGTGTACACCATAATGTGCATGTAGCAAGGTTCTTACCGATTGAACTTTGCTATTTGTACACTGATTTTTGGTACGTTGTTTGACACTTACATTGTTGTCAAGTGTCAATTGGATGAAAAAATTGTTTGAAATTTAAACTGTCCAGCAGGGTAATGTCACGTGGAAAAGTGTTAACTAAAGTGTCCACCAAAGTGTGCATGTAGCAAGG